TCGTCTGGGTTTCGCATTCCCTTCCCCCTTCCCGAACCCTTCCAACCATTAAATGAGCGGACAAACAATTGGGTTCGGGTCTGCCCTAACTCGATGTTAACCCTTTTACAAATACCGGGCGATCGAACAGTAGCATATATACCCGTACTTGCGCGAACACTAACTGAAACAATGGAACCAATGAGATTGGATTTTCGCCGATATGGCCTACGGCACGCGTTATCCATTGTTTCGCCACACATAGATATACGCATACACACATAGGCGAACACATGCATCGAAAAAGTAATGCACAAAAAACATCGTGTTACGTGTTCGCGATTTCTTTAAACTAGTCACAGGTTAAAAGCTGTATAAACGAATTTATGAGACCTAGTACAAAAATGGTGACGTAAACCACATTTTTCTTGTATCGAGAAAATAAAATTGTTTTTTATTCTATATAATAAAGTTTAGCTTACAATTTTATTGTAGTATTTTCCTTTATTATGGTTCTATAAGAAAAAGAATTTATCTTTGTGTGTGTTAAACAAATTCGTATAAAATATTAACTTTTACTGACTTATTGCAGCCATTTAAAAACATTATTATTATTTTTTACTGTTGAAAATAAATTGACAAAAGATAAGTCATACAATTAATTTATTTTCTGGAGAGAGCGAAAGAGAGGACTAATTTTCAAAAAATAATTAAGAATAATTAATTTGCGTTCTGTCGGTAAACAAATCAACACGATATTAACAGGAACAATATAATTTGCTAAACAATACCAGACAAAACAAATCCCGTGATCCTATTGGAAGTGACCACACGCCGATCTACGCAATGGCCAATTTTCATTACGATGCGGTAATACATTTCAGCTGCCATTTAGGCTGTGTTTGAGTCTCGGCCAATTATACTCTGCTTGTGCACAATCAACAGAAATCAATAACACCTTGTCATAATATCGACCTCCGGTTATATACGTACACCTTCGGTGTACAGTTAGTCGAGATGATTGTGATACTGGGATAAACATGATATCGCCTCGCTGTTTCCAATAATGAAATAAACGGACATTAACAAATCATTAAAGTAGAATATTAATTTAATTAGATAAAAAAAAAAACATGCAGTTCTGTTTCACCGTTATCGTTATTGCTATTACTCGCTTTCGGGACAGTTTCGATCGAAATGTTTATCCCCACACACACA